CTTTGGGATTTTGATAGCATCATAAGCTACCTAAAAAGAAAGGAGAAAAAGCTTCACATCAGCAAAGTCATAATATGCCTTTCTTCCAACAGGTATCTGTGGCAAATTTCACAATGTTTCATATACAGGATGGTTGAAAAGAACGGCAATGAAGTGTGCTAATTCTCCAAGTAGGAATGGACCGAGTAACCCTTATTTACACTACCAGGAGAAGGAGTGTTTCAGATTTTGATAAGCTTTCTTGGAAAGGTCATAAAGAGAACAGATTTGTCTCCCAGGGATAACTCCATGAGACACTTCACAAAAGTGGATAATGAAAGAAGACTCAACAATTGAGCACTCAGTAAAGAGATGGAGAGTGCTGACTGGAGTGAATTTAAATCACACATACAGGGCATAATCCATGAAAGTCTAGTCTGGGGATGCTCATAGTGCTGCTCTATCAAAGAATTCACATTCATAGTCAGAGGAACTTAGGGACTGGGCACCCATCATCACCAGGAAGACCAGTTTGAAGAAGAAGATCGAGAGTCACATAGAGAAACCGGTAAAAATATTCACATTAAAGGAACTCTTGTAGAAATATCTACATTGGAAGCCAAAAAGTAAAAATGTAGGGAGTTGATCCAAATAGAGAAAGAAATATGACAATCTGCAAGGCCAAGAGAAGATGCTTGCTGTAGAACAACTGCACAGGGGAAGGCGGGCATGACTCACACTGTGCCTAGTATACTTTTTACTACACTGATCCTAAGAATTTCTGTGTTTTCAGGACAGCATACTAAATAATAGATTTTTCTATGTCTAACTTGACAGACCAAGGCAAAATTTTATGTATTTAACAGATTTTTTTTAAAAAAATTGAAAAAAGGCTAATTTCTTCCTTTTGACAATTAAGATTATTTTTCAATTTCATTCTGTATAGTTATTATCCTGAACTGGGGATGTGAAGCCTGCTCAGAGTCCAAAGATAATGTCTTTCCATTTCTTTTTATAGCCATATCATATGTAAATCTATAGTTAATAAACTCTAATGTTTTATTTCCAAAATATCATCCTTTTAACAAAAGTATTACTGTTTCAGTTTAAAAGTAAATTCCCAAATTTTCCACAAAAATGAGAAAAGTAAAGAAATGAGCTAACACAAGGTGGCTTTGCATGTGACATCAATGTCGACTTCTGAGCACACATAGAATACTTACCTTATCAAGCCAATACAGAGAAGTGTGAAACGTAGAAGCACCAAAGTTTTCTCCTGAAGAAGGTGAAGGGTAAGGGTGTGGTAAATTCAATCCCAAGTAAAGGACAAATGGTTTGGTGTAGTTAATGGCTTCCTGTCTTAGCCAGTCGGTCACTTTGTCTGTGCTCTGCCAGTCCTTCTCCATCACTCGCCTTCTGTTCTTATCAGGGATGAGATTAACCACAGGCCTGCCTTCTTGTCTGAGCAAGAACGCAACATCTCTTGTCCATGCCTCCACACGATTACTGAGGGTGTCAGAACACAACCATGTCAGAAAGCACTCACGCAGGGTTAGAAACTGCCTTAAACAAATGCTGGAAAGCAACAAGGGAAGCAGCTTTAAGACTTACTTATTTAAAAACTGTGGAAAACAACTGAACATTCATTTGTGTTAAGATTATTACAGATTGCTTAGACTAGTTAATTTTTCTTAGAGAACAATATTCAGTTGTGCTGGCTTGTCTTATGTCAACTTGACATATGCTAGAGTTATCTGAAAGGAGGGAACCTCAGTTAAGAAACTGCTTCCAGGGGCTGGAGAGATGGCTCAGAGGTTAAGAGCACTGACTGCTCTTCCAGAGGTTCTGAGTTCAATTCCCAGCAACCACATGGTTGCTCACAACCATATATAATGAAATCTTAATGCCCTCTTCTGGCATGCAGGCATACAAGCAGACAGAACACTGTATACATAATAAATAATCTTAAAGAAAGAAATTAGCTCCATAAGATCCAGCTTTAAGGCATTTTCTTAGTTGAGGCAGGTGTTGGTGGTGCACACCTTTAATCTCAGCACTCGGGAGGCAGAGGCAGGCGTATCTCTGTGAGTTTGAGGCCAGCCTGGTCTCCAGAGCGAGTGCCAGGATAGGCTCCAAAGCTACACAGAGAAACCCTGTCTTGAAAAACAAAAAAAAAAGGAGGTTGAGCGGGTGAGCAAGCCATGGGGAGCAAGCTTGTAAGTAGCCACACTCCAAGGACTCTGTATTAGCTCCTGCCTTCAGGTTTCTGCCCCGGTGGGAGTTCCTATCCTGACTTCCTTCAGTGATGAACAGTGCTGTGGAAGTGTAAGACAAATAAGCCCTTTTCTCCCCAAGCTGCTTTGGTCATGATGCTTTATCACAGTGATAGTAACCCTAAGTAAGACAGTACTTACACTATTTCATATTGCTAGCATTTTTTCCATTGAATTTTCTAGCATTTTAGTATCTTTCTTTCAGAAGATAGTATTTCTAACCAAAGTTAGTATAATTTCTTTGCATCACTATAAAGCTTTTGTATTTTGAAAATTTTACCTCCCATTTGTACTTCTTATGTTTCTAAATTCTATGTTTTAATATGTTCTCTGTTTTAGCTTTTCTCACTAGAAAAAAGTTTAGTCATGGTCTGAACTGTCATAATATTGATACAACTCTCTTATTCATTAGACTCTAGGTATGTTTTTGTTTTTGTTGCCTGACTTACATATTAATGACTTAATGGAAGTGTTTAGTCTGTATCACATGCTATTTGATGTTTTCAAGAACTGTCCAGGTTTATGAAGCTGATGTTGCTGCTTGCAGAGCATACTCAGCATAGCCAAGAAACTTGTTTTATGGTCTTTATTAGTATAAGTGCCTCTGAAGTGTTCTATCAGTTTAGAAATATTTTTTATTTAAATTAGAAACAAACTTATTTTACATGTCAATCCCAGTTCCCTCTCCCTGCCCTCCTCCCTTGCCCCCCACTAATCCCCTCTCCATCCCCTTTCTGCTCCTCAGGGAGGGCGAGGCCTTCCATGAGGGATCTTCAAAGTCTGTCATGTCATTTGGAACAGGGCCTAGACCCTCCCCCCTGTGTGTCTAGGCTGAGAGAGCGTCCCTCTACGTGGAGTGGACTCAGATTAGAAATATTTTTTAAGAATCTAGAGAACAACCCCAACAGAATATATTTTATAATAAAACATAATACTCAGAAGAAATCTCAGACCAGAAAATGTAATGGCCCATGGGTAATGAGGTGCACGCCTTTAATCCCAGCACTTGAAAGGCAGAGGCAGGTGGATCTTTGTGAGTTGAGGACAGTCTGACCTACAAAGTGAGTTCTGGCATAGTAAGAGCAGTTACAAAGAGAAACTTTGTCTCAAAAGAAAAAAAAGTTTTCTTCTCACCTGCTCACTGAAGGCAGATAAAGAAATAGAAGCAGCTATAATAAAAATATGTTTTCATAGTACATAGTTAATATATTTTAATAAAAATAGAAAAAAGTAGAATTTTATCAGAATTACACCTAACAAATTCTAATTAATTCTAACAGATAGTAGACTCCAAAATAGGATTGTCTGGGTAAAATTCGCCATAGTATAAAGCACATAACATTAGCTTCTCAGTCTTTTGATTGCTTCATTGCTAAGCAATGTCACTATATTAGAGGCAGGGCTTTTGGGTTCATAACACCCTTGGGGTTGAGGGGGACAGCACACTGGAACTCACAAAGGATGTGAGGAACTGAAGCACTTATTTGTTAGTTCAGCTGTGTGCTGGGGGAAATACTACTTTGAAATTACTAAGAAACAAAGTTGCAACACAACGTGACTAGCAGCTCATCTTTGGGATGACTCACCTATGTAGACGAGTACTCTGATCATGCCAGTCTCACTTAACCCATGATTCAATCAGGGAGAATCCAAACCAAAGGACAATCACCAGCTTTTTCCTGCTGGTTAACTTATTAAACCAATCTTTTTTTTTTTGTCAAATTATAAAAAAACAAAAAAACAAACCAAAAAACCCTGTTAAACCCAGTCAGCTGTATCTTTTCCCACATAAAGAGTAAACATGACTGTATTTTAACCTTCTAGAATAATTTTTGTTCACTTCACATATTTTTATCTTTTGTGTTGCTGGGATTCTTTTAACCTGTCATGGTTTGAATATTAAATGCTACTCCATCCTGAAGGCTTGGTGGCCAGCCTGTGGTGCCACTGGGAGGTAGTGCAACCTTCCTGAAGCAAAGCCTGGGAGCAGAAGTGAGGTCAGTGGGGCACCCTTGTGAAATACAAGGTCTTCTCTCTTCTCCCTTTCTTTGTTCCCAGCCACTGTGATGTGAAAAGGCTTTCCCTACTGCAAACTCCTGCCGTGATATTCTGCTTCGCCACAGGCCCAAGACAACGCAGCCAATGAACCACTGACTAAAGTGTCTGAAATCTCAAGCTACCTTAAAAGTTGATCTATCTCAGGAACAGGAATGGAAATGTTACTAACATGGTTCTCTTACTGGTACAATGGTTCAAAGTAAGTTAATTATGGCCTAGTTTTATCATCACGGACAGCTTAAAATTTGACTTTATTTTCACCCTTCACTGAACTGTGACTTCTTCCTTGCTAATATAGATGGGAAATAAAATTACCTAACACACAACTAATTACTGCATGAATTTGTCTGTGTAGGTTTTCTGTGCCAGATCTCCTGCTGTATCAGTGGGTATAATTCATAGGTATTGAGGATTAATTTATATAGTAATAAGTACATCTGAAAAAAACCCACACATTAAAATCAATTATGAGAAATGAGCAAAGCTGCAGCTTTCTGAGTCTCCCATGAAGCCTGTCAGCCTAAACTTCCACAGCTCTGTTGGTCCCCTCCACACTGTTTTTGTTGGAACTGGAGAAGCAATGATTCTTTTGTATAGAAAAATGATAGTTCTAAAATTGCCCTTCCAAATTTCTGAACCAATCTAATAAATTGTATATTAAAAAAGGAATCCACCATTCCCTATTGAATGCTCTTTTCTCATGACTAAATTTGTTCTTACTTTCATATTTTATATCAGAGACTAAAACTCTATGTTCTTACCCTGATCAGCAGTTATGAAAATTATGGCATGAAGTGTGATTTGGGCTTATGATCCTTTACAGAACTTTAATTGAGAAAGAAAAAAAAATAATAATGCAACTATGAGGTTGAGGGCCACAAGGAAAATGGAGCCTGAATCAAGTAGAGTCATGGTTGGAAGTGATGCAGTTAAACAAAATGCAAGTCCCAGAGTAGATCAGAAAATCAAGTCATGAGTCAGGTTACTAAAGATCAAAGTTCCATCAATTCCTGCCACTGGGACCATTAAATCTGTACTGGATTCAAAATTATTTCCTAGTTCCATTGAGAGAAGTGTGTAATAGGCCTTGATCGAAGACTGATAATCCAATTCCTAATCAGTGCATGCACATCCTTATATTACAGTCATGTTCTTGATACCCTGAGAAACCCCCAATCTTGTGTATACATTTTGTAGAAACACTTCATGGCATTTCAGAAATAAGACTATTGTCTTAGTTACTTTCCCATTACTGTGATAAAACACCATGATCAAGGTAACTTATATAAAAGAATTTATTTGGGGTTTATAGTTTCAGGGGATTATGACCATCATGGCAGGGAACATGGTAGTAGGCAGACAGACATGGTGCTGGAATAGCAGCTGAGACATTACTTCTCAGTTCATAAGCAGGAGGCAGAGAGTGCTAATTGGGAATGGCATAGGCTTTTGAAACCTCAAAGTCGACCTTTAGTGACACACCTTCTCCAAGGCCACACCTCTTAATCTTTCCTCAACAGTTCCACCAAAAGGGATCACATTTTAAAACATATGAGCCTATGCAGGCCATTCTCATTCAAACCACCACATTCCACTCCTTGGCCCCCATAGGCTTGTGGTCATATATCATAATGCAAAATTCATTTTGTCTAACTTTAAAAAGTCCTCATAATCTATCACAATCTCAACACTGTTTAAGTCCAAAGTCTCTTTTGAGATTTATGGCAATCTCTTAACTGTAACACTCCATAAAATCACAATCAACTTACTATTCTAAAAGAAAGGATGGGGACATACTGAGGAAATATTGGACCCAAGCAAGACCAGAACCTAGCAGGACAAACTAAATCCTGTAGCTCCTTGTCTGAAGTCAAAGGGCTTAGATGGTGTCACACTTCCAGTTTTGCTGACTGCATCACTCTTTTCTCGATTAGTCTGGTCCCTCTCCCTGTATGCAGCTGTCTCTGGCAGACATCCCATGGCTCTGGTGTCTCTACCGCCATCACCATCTAGGCTTCACTTTTACAGCTTCACCCACTCAGGGCCTCCATGAAGGAACTTCCCTTCCATACACCTGGTTTCCTTAATGTCTGAGGAAGATCCTGTAATCCTTTATTCCTGTATCTTTCAGGACTCTAAACCCTGAAGCATATGGCCTGATGCTTCCAAGTTTGTACATTTGCTTGGGATCGACCTTGGCCCTTCCCTGAATTATATTTGCCTAAGTTTCTTCTTGATAGCTACTTTTTAATCCCTCTTCTTCTACAAGTTGCAGGATTAGCTGGGTGGGGTCTTGCCTGAGCCACTCTCATTATTCCATTTCGCTTCAGGCCTCTCAACTCTCTCAGCGTCTGCTTTGGCTCTATCATTAAATCTCTGGCTGCTCTATTACTCTTGTAACTGTACATTTTGTATTTCCTTTTGTCCTGTTCATTCTCTTTTTATGTAAACCTGCATAAAAGTGATAACAAATAATCATACCACAGGGTCAACATTAGGTTGTCTTGAAATATCCTGGACCAAGAAAATTAATTAATTATTTTTCAGTTTAGCCTCAGGCAATTTTGGGGGACAAAGCAAGAAACAGCCATATTTTTGCCAAAATATCACAAGAATGGTCTCTAGTCCAGTTTCCAATATTGTCCCCCTCTGAAACCTTGAGCTGGACTTCCATAAATCCACACTGCTCTCAGTACTACTGTCTTCCAAGATCCTACAAGGATGTCCCACTAATCTCAATTTATAGCTTTCAGTGGCTTCCTAATCCATAGTCCCAAAAAGCAGCAAGATCAGACCTGTCTCCACAATAGCCTACTGGCTGATTCCAGTGTCTGCCTTAGTTACTTTTTGATTGATGTGATAAGATACAACAACCAAGGCAACTTATAAAAGAGCATTTATTTGGACTTACAGCTTTAGGGGATTATGACTATCATGGCAGGGAGCCTCATGACAGCAGGCATGGTGCTAGATCAGTAGCTAAGGACTCACATTTCAATCTACAAGCATGAGGCAGAGAGAAGGAACTGGGAATTGTGTGAGCTTTTGAAAGCTCAAAGCCCACCCTCAATGACATACCTTCTCCAATTAGGCGACACCTTCCAACCTTTCCAACATAGTTCTACCAACTGGGGACCAAGTATTTAAATATATGAGCCCATAGGGGCAACTCTCAGCAGAGATTTTCGAAATTCCATGAAATAGTGAGGACTGTAAATCGCTTTAGAAAGGCAGGGGTTGTAAGGCTTGTTGACTGGATTCCACATCATTCAATCTTTCCCACCAAATGGATGTTTATTCTGTACCAGGCACTGCCACACACTTACTTTCATTTATTTCTGTTACAGTATCTTCAATGTTAACCCAGTTAAGACTCAGCTGTTCAACGAGTTATTAGATTCCAACTTATATGCAAGAGCCCCACACTTAGAGAAGTTAAGTAACTTGTCCAGGATAAGGATGGTACACAGGGTAACACTGCTCACACACTGTGTGCTGTCTGCACTCTTCTCTCTGCTACATTCTCAAAGCAAAGTACAACACAGGGAGACTCATGCCTAGAAGACCCACCTTGTACAGCAAGCAGCCCCTGGTGAAAACCACATCAAGGACATTTTAGTAAGATTAGGTACATGGTGCAGGAGAGCATGGCATGAAATCAGATGGTAAGCAGGTGTTGGATTAGAAAACATGCTGCAGATGTGGGATTCTAATGAAATCAGAGAAGAATAATGCATGAATCCAAAGTACGTAAGTCATGTGTATATTTAAAGATCACCATTGAGGATGAGATCACCCAGAGACCATTTTGATAACTCAAGCAGGAATGACAGGAGCCTGGTAATCGAATAAGATGGGGATGCTTTATAGGTAACTGACAACACTTGGTGATGAAAGATAGAGGGAGACTTGGGATGTTAGCGTGACTTTTGAATTTGTAGTGTGGCTATATTTTAGATCTTAAACACAGAAAAGGAGAGAACAACAAAATCATACTCAGATTATTCTAGTTTTAATACTCAGATAATTTCAGTATTAATACTCAGATTATTCTGGTATTGGTTTAACTGCAAACTCACTGGACTACCTCCTTAGGGTTTGCTTAATAAGTTACCACAGAATGAGTCACTTAAAGCAGCTGTGTGCTCTTCCATACCTCCAGAGACTAAGTCTGAAGCTAGTCTGTCGGTAGAGTCACACTCCTTCTGAAGGCTCTCTGTGACACTGTTAAATGTCTTCCTGATTTATGGTGATTCCAGGGATTCTGTCACATTCCCTAACTTGTTCTGGTTTCACTCCAGTCCCTGATTCTGACCTTAACTGTCCCCTTATGCATCTATGCCTTTCCGCTTCTAATAACAGTGGAAGGCACTGCATTTTCATTTATCCTAAGTACAGAGTTTGTCTTCTTGAGACTCTTAACTAGTTAACATCCGTAGTTGGAATCTATTTCCAAATAAGAACATTCTACAGACCCACTGCTCATGAAGTCTCGGTGGAACATTGTCCAATTTATCACCCTGACTGGTATTTTTATGACATTTAGTTTTCAGTTCTTTCACTTATCATCTCTCATCAATATTATTATTATTGTCACTCTCAATGACCACTTACTGGGCATAAGGTGCTGCATAGTCTTGTGTTTTTGTTGGGAGTCCCAAGTGTTAGGGAATGGATCACACCCAGGTTTGTAGGAGGAACTTGCAGGACTTGGAACATGTTTTTTATATCAAAGTGCACAAAGCAAAATCAGCACAAAGAGATGCATAGGGTGAAGACCAATGCAACCAGGCACAGGCTTCCAAATGGAGAGCTAGGGTACTCAGATTCTTCCAGGATGGAACTGTGACTACAGGGATGAAATGCTGTTTCGATTAAATGCATGTGAAATACTATTTTGAGTTAAGAGAACTAGTATTCTGGTTTTTATTGAAGGCTAATCATGTGGGCACCTTGGACCTACCCCATACCAAACTTCTTGTCTCTGAAGAAAGCTGATTGTTTAACATGAATCACACTGTACAAACACTCCAGGCCATGCTTACCAGTTACAGAATGGTGGAAAACACCCTTGAAATCCAAGTTTCCATACACCAGCCAGGGCCAATCATTTGGGTAGGCAAATATTGTTAAGGTAACTTTCAGGTCTGCATGTCAGCACTTCACTGCACTAATTATCTCTTTCAGTCATCACATTAGTTAAAGTTCAGAGAGCTTAGGTATGTTCAAGTTTATACAACAACAAGTTTAGTAGTAATTACCCAAACAAGAATTCAAAATTAGGCAATCTGATTCTACATTTTTACTCTTCACCACAATGCTTAGCTGCTCATTTATTTTTGTGGTGGTGTGGGTAGAGCCCAGGGTCTTGTGCACATTCTCTACCACTGAGCCAAACTCCTGCTAAGATAGCTGCCTGCCTTTTGAAGGTTTACTAAAATGAAATAAAAGTTACAGTAGCTTCAAGTTCTAGAGACCTGTCAAAGGTAAATAGCAAGAAGGCTATTGTTATAACGATTGTAAAATGAAAAAAGTATTACATGACAGAAACTCACAAATCAATTCACAGGCCAAGCTATTTCACAAATATTAAAATCCACTAATTATAGATATTAATGTTTTAGACAAATAAACATCAGGATATTAACAATTTTAATATTTTAAGAAGATTAAAGAAAGTTAGACTTCAGCCAAATTGGCATACTTGAGGGAGTAAGAAAATTATTTTCAGCCTTGTGGTAAAGTAAGTATAAAAAGAATACTTAAATGTGTGACAGCAGAGGCTAGTTAATTTTGTCTGTTTTAACTTTTACCTAATGGAATGATGTCCTGAAGTATAGTCTAGTTTTCCAAATTTTTGAGTCTGATAGCCATGCTTCTCCATGACATCCATCCATGTTGTATAATTTGGATCGAGACCCTTAAAATTATTCCAAGATTCTGTTAAGTGAGTGAAGAGGCCACTCCACATTGCTGAGGGAAAAAGAGAAATAAAAGAAACTGATTAAGGTAAAGCTTAACAATTTAACTATTAAAAACAGTTACTCTGAGAGTGTTGCTGGATGTTTTACAGTCTGTGATCTGGAAAAAGGAATACCATCAGTTGCAACAGTTTCCAGCCATTTCTCCTTGCTGCTCATTTTATCAGAGGGAAGGCCCTACAAGGAGTTTGTATTTCTATTCTTCAGATGCACCCACCAAGGCTTAGAGGTTAAGTTGATTAAGGTATTTGTTGTATTTATGGATAGAATTAAATATAAAGCTTGCACATCATTAGTGTTTTTCAGCTATAAAAGACACCTGTATTTTTTCTAATTTTTAAAGCATAAGTTAGTGGACTGACAGTTATAGACATTGTTTTCTGTAGAAGAAAACTTTTCTCCATCTTTTCCGGTCCTACTGGACGAGTTTTCTCTCCATCCACCAAGTCCTTGTAGCTGTTTATGAAATAGCCACTCTGAGGCTGAATATCAATTACAGTTTTTTGCCCAATGGCTTCTTACTAGCTAGTTCTCTCTTAAAATATTAACCCATCTCTATTAATCTGTGTATCACCATATGGTTGTAGCTTACCGGTGATGCCCTGGCATCTTGCTTCCTGGCGGTTATATGGCACTTGACTCCACCTTTCTTCTCTCTATATCTGTGTTTGGAATACTGCCTAAGTATATTCTGCCTGGCTTTTAGTTGAAACAGATTTATTCACCAACCAATAAAAGCAACACATATATGCAGCCTACAGGAAGACATCCTACATCAGTTTCCCTTACTTCTTCAAGGACTTTCCCATTCATTATCTTTTCACTAGGTTTTTCTAAGAAAAAGAAAGAAAAAAAGGATGCTATATGTTCTTTCAAACCTTAATAAATGCTGCTTCTCCTTTCTGTGTGCACACAGTAGGCTGGATAGTTGTTCTTTGCTCTGTGTGTGCATATGCATGTCTAGGGTGTCTCCCTAAATAGTTTTTGAGATAAGGTCTCTCTCACTGAACCTGGAGCTTGCTGTTTGGCTTGAATGGCTAATCAGCAAGCCCCAGGGATCTCTCTGTCTCCGCCTCCCCAGTGCTAGCATTCCAGGCATGCACTGCCACACCCAGTTTATCATTGCCTTTTTAAATACACAATGTTGAGTATTCAAACTCTGGTCTCAGACCTATGCACAAGCACTGTATCATGTAAGCCATCTTTCAAGCCCCTCTCTTCTTTTCTGATCTAAGAAAATACTTACTGAGAAGTGGGGTTTGAGTCACAATAACCATGGTTCTGGTATGTCCTCTGGTGTTGTTTGACCATTTTGTTTTAGTTTTCTTCTGCAAACTGGGCTAATAACAGTAATCATGTTGCTGGAAGTATAAGGACTATATACCAAAATATTAGAAGATACTTAGAATATCACCAAATACAGCAAGAATATACCAGTTATTTTTATCACTATCATTCCTTGTCAGAATATGTTTTTTTTTTTTTTTTGTTGTTGTTGTTGTTGTTTTTTGGAAAGACACCTTTGTGAGACTTCCAGAGTTTACTAACCATTTTCTCATTTGTTATTGCAATTGACAACCATGTTTACTGTGATGGCTGCAGCACCCTTAGCATTCTGTGGACCAGGAAACTGGGTTACTTCCGTTACAGGGTTCTCTGAGGTTTAGAATCATCTTAACCCTAGTCAACACAGGATAGAAGTTAGCAAACACGTTTTTTACATATGATGTGTCTTTTGTCATTGAAATATCAATTAGGATTACATAGGTTTCCTTTAACTGTTGGTGACCAGATAGTGCTAATGTGTCTAAAATTTATCTTTTCACAAAGAATTCTTGTAAGTTCCAAGGAGCCAAACTGGACCCACCCAAACAGAGCAGATTCACTCCAGATAAATATTATTCAATCTTTCCCTGGTCCCAGGACTTCCTTCCCTTATCTTGAGACCCCTTGGGAATCCCATCCTCATCTTATGATTCTCCTCCCCTCAAGTACCAGGACCTAAAAATTTTTTTTTCTTAAATTTAACCTTGTTCTCTGCTCTGCCAACATCTTGCCAGGTCTAAGAGGTGCCAAAGAGTTCCATATAGCCTGGGCAACAATTGAAATCAGCTACTTCAGGACGTGGCAGCACCCCAGCTTTCTCAGGTCCCCCAAAGATGGTTGACACCCCCCAGGTCAGCAGGAAGTAGTCTTGAGAACTCAATGGCCTTATTCCCTAACCTGCCACGCCTAACTCCTCACCTTTTTAGTAATAAATAAAGGTGGGAATCTAAGGATTCAGGCATTATGCTGGCCTGCCCCTGTCACCTGGCAGAATGCACTCAGGCAGTACTCTGGTCAGCCCAGGGTTCCATGTGTACTAGTCTGCACACAGGTACAAAGGACCCCTTTAAAAGAAAGACCCCGCCTACTTATGCTCTCTTTCCTGCTGTTCCCCTGGGCAGACAGGACTTTTCCTGTCTCCCTCTTCTGTCCTCTCTCTCTCTCTGTCTCTGTGTCTCTTTTCTCTTTCCTCTCCCCCTTCCCTTTGTAACAAAACTTCTCACTAAGCTCTGTCTGCCTGGCATATTTGTCCCCTGCCTTAGTCACTCTCACCTGCCATGGAATCCACCAAAGTCCCCCATGTGCATTATCATAACAGCTCTAGAAATAAAGTGAAGGTGGTTATAACTGAAACCATAGAGACTACCATCTCAGTGGCTCATAAAGAAACCAAACCCTTCTTGTTATTTACAGGTTCCATGGCAGACAACCACAGACCACATGGGCAGAGGCAAAGGAGAGCACCCTCAGACAAGATTCTTAAAAGAAAAATTTCATTTTCTAAACTTATGGCTTATGGTCCCTGTCATACTTGACATCAAACTATGGGTATTTGTTAAATTGTTGCAATAAGGTGAGTGCTTAGATTTTTGATAGATATAAATCGGGGCAGAAGAGAAGGAGATGAAATGTACAGTCTGAAATCATTGGGAAAACTTAAGACAAGCCTGAAAATGAGTTCTGCCTGGACAGAATCTCCGAGAGAGCCTGCTGACTCCTTCCTAAACCCTCACAGAAAGACTTCCTAGAAGTAGAATGCTATGAAGCATGAGTACCTGTTCATCTGCTTTGTTAGTCAAATGAAGAAATGAAATGGCAACACAGCATCCCAGGCAAGAAAAAAGCCCTTCTTCAGAAAAATAAGAAATTCAAATTCAGGGACAAGATCTCCTGAGCAAATTGGGAGCATGGGGGGAGGAGAGAGGGAGTTAGGAGAATGAGAAGGGGAGAAGAGGAGGGGTGAGGAGGACATAAGGGAGCAGGAAGGTTGTATAGGGGGAAGAATAGAGAGCAAAATAAGAGATACCATCAGAGAGGGAGCTAGTATAGGTTTAAAGAGAAATCAGGCACTAGGGAAATGTCCAGAGATCTACAAGGATGACACCAACTAACCATCTAAACAACAGTGGAGAGACTAACTTAAATGCTGTCGCCTGATAATGAGATTGATGACTAACTTATATGCCATCCTAGAGCCTTCAATAGAAGCAGACACCCACAGCTAAACACTGAAGTGAACTGGAATCCAGAGAAGGAGGAGTGATGAGCAAAGGGTTGAAGACCAGGCTGGTGAAACCCACAGAAACAGCTGGCCTGAACAACGGGGAGCTCTTGGCCCCCAGACTGATAGTTGGGAAACCAGAATGGAACTGATCCAGACACCATGAATGTGGGTGTCAGTGAGGAGGCCTCGGAAATCTAGGTCTCTTGTAGTACATCAGTACTTATCCCTAGTATAAGAATGGACTGTGGGAGCCCATTTCACATAGAGGGATACTCCCTCAGCCTAGACACATGGGGGAGGGTCTAGGCCCTAACCCAAAGGATATGACAGACTCCTAAGACCCCCCCCCAATGGAAAGCCTCACTCTGCCTGGGGAGCAGAAATGGTATGGGATAGGCAAGATGTTAGTGGGGGGCACAGGAGGAGGAGAAGGCGAGAGAACTGGGATTGACATGTAAAACAATCTTGTTTCTAATTCAAATAAAAATGGAGAAAAAAATTCAAATTCAATTTAGAATTGAAAAATTAGAAATTCGAAATTCAAATGACTCCAACATTCACACCTTAGAATACACAGCAGTTATACTGAGATGTATTTATTAGATACTAGATGTGAGCTTACCATAGGTTTTTGCATATGATGTTTTAAATCTGGATGTCCTTTTAGGGCTCAGCCCCTTTCCATTAACATTAGCATATTCATACCTGCTCGAGATGGACAGCAGATGGGAGAGTTTGTGTAGGCATTCAGGAAGGTGGTGCCATGTGCTCTCATGAAGTTGATAAAGGGAAGTTTTACTACCCCACTTCCTGGTTGAAATGTTAGTCTTCCATCCTGAAATAAAGAAATTCAACCACTGCTGATTACCTAACACGAAGAGGACAGAGGACAATTTTAGGTGTCCATCCTCACTCTTTTACTTTAACTTTTATTGTGTAGACAGCAAACTCAGGTCATCAGGCTTGTATAGCAATCCATTTTGCCATCCAAGCTACCCCATTCTCAACCTAGTGTCTCCTCTTCCACATAACCACCATAGGCTTGAACAACAGAGGTGATGACAGTAATGTCCTTTTCATTTCTATCTCCAGAATGCATGTGAAAGTGTGCTAGTTTATAATGCTGTTTCATAGAGCTATTACCCATATTTAAATCAATACTGGGCTTCAAGAACCAAAGGCAGGAAGCTACAAAATCAGGTTGTTAAATCAAGAACAAGATCATGGAATGCTAAAATCCAAGGATGTATTAGAAGAAAAAGAATAAGGGGGAAAAGGAGAAGGAGGAGGAGGAAAACAAGAAGAAGGAGAAGACGACGACGACGACGACGACGACGAAGAAGAAGAAGAAGAAGAAGAAGAAGAAGAAGAAGAAGAAGAAGAAGAAGAAGAAGAAGAACTCATTTAATAAAAACTATTACTTCTTATCATTGACACGCATAAGAATAAATTTGTTTAGGGGCTAGAGAGATTGCTTATTAGCTGGGAGCATTCACTGCTCTTCTAGAGGACTTGGATTTGGTTTTCAGTACACACATGGTGGCTCCCACCAGTTTGTAACTCCAGTTCCAGGGCTTCTGACACCCTTGATTATGATGCCCCCCAAATATTTTCCCTTTAATTTTAATCACAAAATTTACTACCCCTCAAAACTTCAATATGTTTGTATGAAATCTCAAAAAGAATAAAAAGCAAGCACAGAGGTATGTCATGAGAGTCCAGTACACAAATAAAATTTTAAAGTGTTATGCTGAAATTAATTTGCAAACATTAAAGTATTTCTTGGAAAGTACTTTTGGAGAATGAAGAAATGATTTAAAAATTATCTCAACGAACTTTAAGTACCTATGTCTTTATGTATCAGGTGACTTGAAATATCTGAGTATACAATGGTGTTATAAAATAGAATTCTATTCCCAGGAAACTGGCACCCCGTTGGGAGAGGTAAAAAGAACATTAGTAAATTAACTTTGAATACTTATATGAATTATATGTGTAACCTGCACAAAAGTATACTTTTTCCTTTGAAACAGGGTCTCATGTATCCCAGGCAGCCTCTGACTTGCTATGATGACCTTGAACTTCTGATTCTCAGCCTCCACCTCCTGAGGCATACACTATTATGCTCTCATTATGTGGTGCTGATGACTGAACTCAGGGCTTTGTGCATGCTTAGACAAATACTGTACTAAATGAACTATGTCCCAGCTCTGGCTATGAATTCTAACAAATTCTAATTGCTGCTTCTGAACCATTATCATTCTGGCCAAGGAGGATCAAAAGCCAAGTTTAGATTTCAAGCATTGTTCTAGTTTTATTCTGTTGTGACAAACATAACCATGATCCAAAGCAATTTACGGGAAGATTTATTAGTTTCAGGTCACAGTCCACCACTGAGAGAAGTCAGGGCAGGAACTCAAGCAGGATACCAAGGAGCAGAAACCATGCAGGAATACTGTTTGCTGGATTGGTTCCTGGCTAGCTCATTCACCATTTTATGGTTAGTTAGTGTTCTCCCCCCCCGCCCCCCCCCAGTTTTTTAAGGCATGGTTTGCTCAGCTTCTGTATAAATCTTCATCAGAGTTAACACTAATAACCACATGACAGATTCTATACTAGCTGTTTTGAGATTTCCTCTGCCAATGGAATTAATCCAAAACTCTTCACTTTAGCCTCAGGCAGACTCTTCAGAAAAAGGGCAAAAAGCAGCCATATTCTTCACCAAAATATTCTAGGCCACATATTAATATTCTTCTCCTCTGTAACTTTTTGAGCAAGGGCCCCAACAGCTCATCAAATCACGTCCAGCACCACCGTCTTCTATGCTCCTACTAGTATGGCCCATTAATCAGTGCTTAAAGCATTCCACTGGGTTCCTAATCCAAAGTACCAAAGTCCAAATTCTTCCAAACGAAAACATGGTTTGGCCTATCACAGCAATACCCCAGTCCCTGGTACCAACTTCTGTCTTAGTTAAGGTTTTCTATTGCTGTGAAGAGAAACCATGACCATGGCAACTGTTATAAAGGAAAAAATTTAATTGCTTACAGTTCAGAGGTTCAGTCTATTTTCATCATGGTGAGGAACATGGAGTCATGCAGGCAGATATGGTGCTGGCTACATCTTGATCAGATCGCAATAGAAAGTGGACTGAAACACTGAGTGGAGCTTGAGCAAAAGAGACCTCAAAGGCTGCCCCCTTGGTGACACATTTCTTCTAACAAGGCCATACCTACTCCAACAAAGCTACACCTCCTAATAGTGCCATTCCTTTTAGGGACCATTATTTTTCAAAGCATCACACCATTGTAACTGCAACAGTGGGGAAGTCCAGTGTATGTCAAAGTGGGGGTCATGAGGGTCCCTTGTCCTCAAAGGCCCAGGCAGAAGTGCTTTTTATCTTTTCTTAAAAACAAAAAAAAATTTTATCCAGATAGAATTTACATACTACTTACTTATTTAAAGTGTTCAGTTCAAAGGTTTTTAGTATATTCAGAAAATTATTCAGAACACCTTCATCATTCCCAATAAAACCCTTAGCCATCACCCTGGACTTACCCAAAACTGAGGCAACTACTAGCTTACTTCCTGTGTCTACACAAGTGCTTTCTTTGGACATTTCATATAAATGGACTCATATAAAATGTAATTCATCATTTCTTTTACTGAGAGCATATAGTTTTTTTTTTGGTTCAACTACTTTGTAATATGCATGACTTTTGTATTCCTTTTTGGTTGCTGAATAATACTACCAAATTTCATTTATACACTTACCAGTGGATGGATATTTAGGTTGCTTTCACTTTTCATCATAGCACAATATTACTATGGACAGTCATGTAGTAGCTTTTGTGTGGACTATGTTTCCATTTGTCTTGGACACACACACCACACACACCACACACCACACACACACACACACACACACCACACACACACACACACACTCCTCAGAATAGAAGTGCTGAATTGCATAGTAACTCTATAGTTAATTACTGGAGAAACTGTTAAATGCTTTTCCAAGGTGGCTTCACCACTTTACAGATCATTCACCACAGCAGTGCATGAGGTTTCCAATTCCTCCATATTCTCACAAACGCTGGTCAATTGTGTGTGTCAATTGTCAATTGTGTGTGTGTGTGTGTGTGTGTGTGTGTGTGAGAGAGAGAGAGAGAGAGAGAGAGAGAGAGAGAGAGAGAGAGAGAGAGAGAGAGAGAGATATTATGGAAGAACGTTTTATAGTATTTTAACTGCTCAAAATAATCCATTTATTGCAACTTTGATCATATTTATATCCACATTATCCCCCACTCCCCTCCTTTGGCTCCCTATGTCTTCTCAAATACTCCCTCATAGTTTTATGCCTTTTTTATTTTGGCTATCCTTTTGGGAATGAACTGGTTTGATCTACACAGTGTCTTACTATGGTTTGATCTGTAATTCCCTAATGATTACCTAAGCAATGTTTCATGTGCTTAATGGCCATTTGCGTATATTCTATGGGAAAATGCCTTTTCAAATCCTTGGCTTATTTTAAATTGCCTAATCCAGTATTATGAAAATTTACACTTCCATTTTCTTGAAGGAGTCTTAGCTTTTACATTTAACTCATAGTCTCATTTTAAGTTAATTTTTGCACATGGTGGAAGGCAGAGCGAAAGTTTGGTCTTTTACATGTGGATATCCAATTTTCCCAGCACTACTTGTTCATAAAAATTTATTTCTAGACTCAAATTTATTCTTTTGTTCTGAATCGTTATCTTTCTGCCTGTAACATACTACTGTGATTACCGTAGCTTTGTTATAAGCTTTAAAATTTAAAAGTATTATGTCTTGTCAGTCTTCTTTTTCGAGTTTTTTTTTTCAGTTAGGAGGTCCTTTCAATTTCCGTATGATTTAATTCAAATTTAAGATCATGCATATACATATAAGAAAGCACATTAAATCATAACAACTAACATTTAAATCAGCGCTAACACAATTATTAAATGTCTAGATCAGTGGTTCCCAATCTTCCTAATGCTGCAACCCTTTATTATAGTTCCTTATATTGTAGTGACCCCAAACCATAAAATTATTTTGTTGCTCCTTCATAATTAATTTTGCTACTGTTATGAATTGTAATGTAAATATCGGACATTCCCGATAGCCTTAGGCAACCCCTGTGAATAAGTCGTTCGACCTTCCAGAAGGTCACCTGCGTGACCTATAGGTTGAGAACCACAGGTCTAGATAATTAAATTTACTTCATTTCTCACCCAACATTAATTTCTGCAAATGTGGGTGACTGGCACGTCATTCTGGAAAAACGAATAAGCTTTTGTGGAAGTGTATAATGCATTTCCTTTCAAAACTGAATTAAGCCAGGATACAGGCTAAACATTAATTAATAATGGCAAAAATGCTTTGGTGGACCTAGTCTGGTATTAAAAGTGCCGGTGGGTCGCGGGTGTGTAGTCTCTCTAGAGAGGCTGAGGCAGAAGGATCACCAGAACCCGGGAGTTCGAGACCTCCTTCTTAGTATTTGTTTACATATATGGACACACGTGTGCAGGTGTGCTCATGCGGGACCTCTCTATCCCAGTGGCAGGCTCTCCCCAGGCTGTCGGTGGCGTCTGCTGGCCGTCCTCAAGCCACTTACGAAGGAGTCGCTGGCGACGAGCACTACGTTGGGCGCCTGGGCTACTTGCAGCTTCTGCTCCTGTGTTCCCGGGGTCGGCGCCGCGATCGCCGACGCTGCGACTGTTGACACCCACAGCAACAACATCTCTTGCAGGGGCGTCCAGACGCGGTCACCGAGCCCGCCTCCTTTGGACTGCTTTCTGGCAGTGAGTGGGCAAGGATGGGACCCTGAACTAGTTAGGCGGGTGGCACCGCGAAACTACAACTCCCATCAGGCTCAGAGCAGGCGCATGCGCAGCGAGGAAGTAGTGCTCTCACTTTTAACCCATGTAAAGACCATTTTAATCAAATTTCGAGCTAATGATCGTTCAGCCACTTCCTCGCACCCAAGCGATGCCTGGGGAAATGCGCATGCGCTGTCCAGATTTGTGCTTGGAGGCAGTCCTGTATGCTCCAGGTGGGTTCTGGTTGCTTTCGCTTTGAGCAGAAGTTAAACTTTACAGGCAGTTGAAGTGGTATTTAGGGGGAGAAAGGATTGGGCCTGGGGGTGGTGCTGGGGGTCGTCTTCCTTTTGCTTAGGGCAGGGTGGCTGAAGGTTCGCTGACATAGTGAGCTTGGCGGTGATGAGGTGGCAGTGCTACTGCCTCTAAATTGGATTGGGCTGTCTGTGCCCCTGTGGCCTAAGGCTGGGCCACCTCAGGTGTGGGCTTAGGCCGGGCCACCTCAGGTGTGGGCTGGGCAGTGGTTTGCATCTCCTGCGGCTCCAGAACCCTAGTCATGCAGCTTGCCTCGTCGGATCGCCTCTGTTGGCGGGGCAGTAAGGATGGTGCTGGTATGGGGTGAGGCACAGTGCGTGTATAGGAAGTTTCAGGTTCCTGATATGGAAAAGGTTGGCTGTCCTTTGCCTTTATTGTCCCAGAGGGGTAGGGGTGCGGGTTTTGGGGGGCGGAGAAAGAAAGAAAGGAATAGGGTCTAAAAGGAAGAAATGTGGGTTGTTAATTGACGAAGGCTCGGAGTGCCATTGTTGGGTACAGAATAACGTTATTCCTTTTTTGTTGTTAGATTCCTTTGGAGAATTCCGGAAGAAGCAAGTTTCTGTCTCAAAGTCAATTTCTTCACTTACTATAGCTTCAGGTATATGTAATTGAACACTAAATCAATTGTTTTGATTTTCTGGCAGGAAAGGAGGAGTTGTTCTATTTATTTCAAGACCTAACTCTTATATCTTGGCAGTGTTTTGTACAGAATAATTATGAGGGAAATACCTTACATATCTAATACATAGTGGTATGTGCTGAGCTTCTCTTAAGCCTCTCTGTGTATTTATTGTGTAACATGCTTTTCTGTAGCCTTCATTTGAACTACTTTGCAGATGATAAAACAGATGGGAGAAGTTAAATGACTTTTTCAGGGTTTTTGCAAGGAAACTATTCAAAGAAGAAATTGATTAGCCTGTGCCCTAACTCATAAATACTTTGTCTCCAGCTGCAGATTTTTATGACTCTACTAAGTTTCATCTCTATTAGTGAAGCAAATTTGCTAGTCCATCATCGCCCTATAGATGTGTGTGGGTATGACTAAACACACCCTTAGTCCCCGAGGAATGCTCTTGGGGAGAAAGACCCAGCCTACATAAAATATCCAAGTAGATTGCCTCATAAACAGGATATACTCCCCCAAATTGTGTTAAGTTAGTTTGGAATGTAAACATATTTTACAGAAGCAATGTTTTGGCATAGTAGTGGTTCTTTGAACACTAACATTTCTTGGGGGCTTGTTTCTTCAGACCCTAGTTTTGATGACAAGAGCACATCTTTTTTTTTTTTTTCCTTCTTTCTGTCCTTGCTGTGTCAGTGAGAGCAGGTGCTGCAGTGTGTTGATGCAATATAGGTGTTTTAGGGACCCAGAGACAGTGCTGCCAGAATCTAAGAGGCTTCTAGTCCTTTTTTCCATCTGATGCTTAGTGGGAACTATAATGTTCCTGCCTGGTGGACTGTCCAGTCTATCCTGTAGCATGAATAATAAAAGCCCAGAGACAGATATTGGGGTTCAAGCTGATGATCAGAGAAGCAAAGCAGAGAGCTCTTACCTCTACCAGTGCTGGGGAAATCGTGTCCTCAATGTGGCTGGGGACTAATTGCCAGAATCTGAGACCCTGCTCCTATCTTTATAACTCTAGTGCTGGGATTAAAGGCATGAGCTTTGTTTCTCTTTTAGATTGATTTGATCTCATGTAGCCATGGATCACCTTGAATTCACAGAGATCCATCTGCCTCTGTCCTGAGTCCTGGGATTAAAAGTGTGTGTCACTACTGCCCAGCTTCTATGGCTGTGACTAGCTTTGTATTCTGATCCTTCAGGCAAGCTTTATTTAATCATAAATAATATATCACCATACATATAGGTCTTCATCTTTCCTGATACTAACCTTCCTTTGAGTAGCTCCTTAGGTTTGTTACAATTCTGATTTATGTTGGGTTTTTTTTGTTGTTTGTTTGTTTGTTTTTTATTTTTTTGAGACAGGGTTTTTCGGTAGCTTTGGAGCCTCTCCTGGAACTCATTCTGTAGACCAGGCTGGCCTTGAACTCACAGAGATCCACCTCCCCGCCAAGTCAGTCTGCTTTTAAGCAATCATTTATTCATTACTCTTTGAATTTACATGGATAAAAGCCTGTCTTTGTACTTCATCTCCACCAGTTGTCTTTTCAGTCTTTTCCCAGTTCTTCAGCTAGTTATGGTTTTACATCAGGGTTCTTCATTGTTTAATGACTGAGTTTACTCAATGAGCCAAGAAACTTATGTGTGCATGTGTCTATGTAGTTAGGTAGCATTCAGGATAGGAGCTCTGGTTTATGGCTGGTATAACAAAATACCATAACAAATATATTTTCTCATAATTACAGATTTTAGAAGTCAAAATCAAAGAGTTGTCAAGTTTGGTTTCTTCTGAGGCCACTGTTACTGTCTTGTCACCTCAGTGTGTTTTCACCTGATCTGTCTTCTATGCATGTGCATCCTGGTATGTCTAAATTTCTTTTAAGAGTGACAGATTAGATCAGGGTCTTCCTACATAACCTCATTTAGCCTTCATTGCCTTGGTACTATGTAAATACTGTTGTATTCTGAAGTAGTGGGGCTGGTACTGGATGTGTGAGTTTTGGGGTGTTGTATGTCTTCCTGTGAAAACATGAAGAAACATGTGTTCACTCCAGATAGATCACCAGTGATAGATCAAAATAGCTATTATAGTTCAGCATGCTGCACTAATGAGTTTTGGGGCTTACTTACAGAGCATGGTTGAGTGCTTACTTAGAGGAACATGAATAACTCAGAGGTAGAGGTATCACTGAAAAGGCCCTTGCAGCATGGGTGATGGTTTATAAAGTCTGTTCTTGAAGCTCCTTGTACAACCTACTAATAGCTCAGCTACTTGGAGAGTATCCTGTCCCAAGCTTGCTACTGCTTATTTTACCTTGGGGGAGGAGCCTTGTCAATCATGTGAGTTTCAGGCAATTTCTGAGACTTCTGAGTTGTTTATTTGTTGACCCTCATAAGCTTCATTTACTTTCTGAGTCTTAAGAAACCTCCCTTCAGGATAGAATATTTTGATTTGGAAGAAATTACTATATAACTCAGGGGATACAATTATCCCCACAACAAGCTCAAATCTGTCTGTCTATCATTTTACATCAAAAGCTAATGATTTCCACATTAGGGTCAGGTTGTTTTAGTTGCAAATACTCTGCTCTTTAGATGTTAGAGAGGTCTTCAATTGAACAGTCTGGGTCTAGCTTATGGTCCTCTGCAGGTCTTTTTTAAAAAAATTATGTATACAGTGTTCTGTCTGTATGTATGCCTGTAGACCAAAAGAGGGTGCCAGATCTCATTACACATGGTTGTGAGCTACCATGTGGTTGCTGAGAATTGAACTCAGGACCTCTGGAACCTCTGCAGGTCTTTTAATATCCAAAGTAACAACAGAATTTCCTAAAGAACTGCCAGTCAGTTTTGGGAAACATAGTTATACATACTTGTAAGTCCAATAAGACTTGAAAAGGTATGAAAAAGTATTGATAATGGTTGAATTAACTGCCCCCCCCCCCAAAAGAAAAAGTAGTAATATCCCAAGTTTTGTTCTGGAGCATGCAAGTGTTTTCAAGAAGGCAGCTGGTTGCTGCAGTCAGCTGTGTTGGGTCATTGGATTTCCTAGAGGCTTTAAATGGCAGTATACATCTAGAGCAAAGAGAAGTCTGTTTGGTAGACACAAATTTCCTGCACCATGGAGTAATGCCTTCAAGCCTATACATACAGCCTGTTGAGTCAATTTATTGTTTTACTTTAACAATTGCTCATTTGTTTTTAGGCCTGACCACTTAGTATTGGATAACTAATCAGTGATCTGATTCCTCTCCCAGCAGTCATGAATTGCCTATAGCTCTTCATCTGTAGGCAGAGATTTTTGAGATTTCCACCATTCATGTTGGCATGTTAGCTAATGTCATTACCCAGGACTTGTTTAGGTAACCATATTGTTTTGAGTTCCTGGGGGCAGCTTCCCTGTCATATACAGGCAACACATATTTGCAGCAGATGTACTGGTCCTCTGACTCTTATATTGATATCCTCTGAATGAGCCTTAGGTGTAGGGATTGTGTTGTAGATGTATCAGTTGGGGTTAAGTAATCACAGTCAGTTTTGTGCATTTTGGCCAGTTGTGGTTTTTTGCTGTTTATGTATGGGAAGCAGTGTTCTCAGAATTGACGATTCTAAACTCAAAATAGTTGTCAGTTCTGAAAGATTTTGAAGGTACTCTGTATCCTGCTGTATCCAGCATCCATCCAAGATTTAATTCTTTATCTAGGAATAAACATTCATTTCATTATTATGGCAAATTTTCTTTGTTATTTAATAAATTGTGTGTATACCAAAGAATTGTTTTAAAGTAAACTTTATGTTTTACTCTTAATAAGTATTTGATTTGTATACCTTTGTTTATGTGCCTGAATACTCAGGTTGCATAAAATTTTACAGGTGAAGGGAGTCATGATTGAAAGCATCTTAAGTCCTAGTTTAAACCAGTTCAGAAATTTGGAGATGCAAATCTGTGTCTCTCTGGGAAAGATAAAAGACTAAAATCATGTAGAATTATTTCTCATGATTTAAATTGCGATCACAGTGAATCTGGTTTTAAAAAGCTTTGCAAGGTTTTGGTTGTCTTATATCACTGTCTCATGGTTGTTTTTACTTAATTTAGATGAAAAAATGGGTAAGGAACAATTTCACATTCAGTTCAGAAAGAAGATGCCGGCATGCTAACAGGTAAGAGATGATGATGTACTAAATAACAAGCAGTCAATCTGTCTTTACTTAGGGATCCTTTCCAAGTCCTTCAATAGAAGGACTAATGATAGATTTTTGTTTGTTTGTTTGTTTTGTATTATACTACAGATCAAAACAAATATGTGGTATTTTGAATGTAATTGGCCCCCATAATCTCATTGTTAGGAGGTGTGGCTTGGTTGGAGTCAGTATGGCTTTGTTGAAGGAATTGTGCCGTTGTGAGGGTGGGCTTTGAGGTATCTTTGGCTCGAGCTTCACTCAGTGTGACAGTCAGTTGACTTCCTGTTGCCTGAAAGATGTAGTACTCTCAGCTATTTCTCCAGCACCACATTGCTTGAATGCCATGCTCTCTGTCAAATGATGGGAAGAGAGGAATTAGGGAAAATAAGTATTTCCAAGACTGTCTCCTTAGAAAGGCTGCAATTCTTGTCCACAACTCTACTAATATTTTCCCTAATTCCTCTTTTCCCATCATTTGGGGGTCCTGCCACTCAGCTCCCAAATAAATGCACAGAGGCTTATTCTTTCTTATGAATGCCCGGCCTTAACTTGGCTTGTTTCTAGCCAGCTTTTTTTTTTTTTTTTTTTAAACTTATATAATCTCATCTACATTTTACCTCTGGGCTTTTACCTTTCTCTATTTCTGTGTATCTTTTCTTTCCTTCTTTCTCCATGGCTGGCTGTGTTGCTGGGTGGTTGTCACATTCTTTTCTTGCTCCTTGATCTTCTCTTGCTCCTAGATCTAGATCTCTCTCTGTTGATTTCTCCTGTTTATTCTCTCTGCATGCCAGCCCTGCGTATCCTTTCTCCCACCTTGCTATTGGCCATTCAGCTCTTTATTAGACCAATCAGGTGGTTTAGACAGGCAAAAATCACAGCTTCACAGAGTTAAACAAATGCAACATAAAACAATGCAACACATCTTTGCGTCATTAAAACAAATATTCCACAGCATAAAAAAAAATGTAATACATCTTAAAATAACATTCCACAACAGCACACTTCTCCAAATTCCTACGGTACCTTTCCATTTAATCTTTAGCGTTTGGTTCTCTCGTGGATCATTTGATATCTAGATGTTTCTCCTGAATTAGACTGTATTCTTCAGAGTAGCATGGCCCTTTTGTGTATCATCATGCATTGATGAGTTTGGGCCCATGTGTAGATTGTCTATTGTTTCTTCCTTGTTTGGGCTCCTCTCTAAGGTCCTCTTTTTCTTTTCTTTTCTTTTCTTTTTTTTTCACTTGAATCTCTCTCTCTATTTGTCTAGGTCAGCTATCCTCATTGACCTCTTTCTTTTAGTTCGCAGATTATTTTGCAGAAGGAACGTGGCTCGAGAGAGTTACTGTGAAATCAATGTTGAACTTGTTTAACTGCCATCAACATTTGTAGACTAAAAATATTTCTTCTCCAATTTACCTCTAAATTAATATCAAGATACTTTCAGGTAAGGTAGTAGTTTCAAAGATGATAGAATGTGCTGTGCTATTTTAAATTGATTATTGCAACAAGATCTTAAATTATATTTGGGAAATCTGAATGTATCACAGATAAATTGATTTTATAGTGTCTTAATTTTTATATTATTCTGAATGCTAGCTTACTTTAAGTTAAAACAGCCTTATCTTCAAACCTCTAACTTCTCAGGTTTCTTTTGTTTTATACTCTTGCATTTCAATTTGGGTAGAATGTACTGGTAATGTTCTCTTAGTATACTGTGTTAGTATACTATATTAGTGTACCATGTTAGTGTACTGCATTAATGTTGTGTGTTAGTGTATTTATTATATTAGTGTAGTGTGTTAGTGTACTACATTAGGGTACTGTGTTTATGTACAGTGTTAGTGTACTGTTTTAGTATACTGTGTGTACAGTGTTAGTGTACTGTGTGTGCACTGTGTTTGTGTTCAGTGTAGTATACTGTGTTTGTGTGCAGTGTTAGTGTACTGTGTTTGTGTGAAGTATTATTGTACTGTGTGTGCAGTGTTAGTATACTGTGTTTGTATACTGTTAGTGTACTGCATTAGGGTATTGTTTGTGTATTGTATTAATGGTTAATGTACTGTGTTAGTGTCTTTTGTTAGTGTTCTGTGTGTGCAGTGTTAGTGGACTGCATGAGTGAATTGTGTAAGTGTACTACATTAATACACTGTGTATAAATGTTCATGTATTATGTTAACAGATTGTGTTTATATACTATGCTTATATGTTATTGTACTTACTGTGGTAGGGTATTTACTCTGTTCCCTTACTGCATTTGAATACTATGGCAGTGTACAGTGGTGGTCGCCCAGTTTGATCTGAATACCTGGAGTCTGTAACTGTTTAATTTCTACCTAGCTTTGCTTTATCTTTATGGTGAGATTAGAAATAGGTTGACTCAGCAGAAAATACAAATGTTTCTTTTGTAAACACTGTATTGTGATTGTATTTGGGTTGGGTAAGTCAGTAATTTGTAAAATATTAACATGGGCTACTTTAAATGAAATTAATTAATCTATTGTAATATTAAATGAGGCACTTTGACTATAAAGTAAAATATCTTTAAACTTTTAAAAATTTCATTTAAAAAATTAGTATACAGAGTATTAGGTTTCATGTAGGGAAGGTTGGCCTTTTGCTGTGTAGCAGAGGATGGCCTTGAATTCCTGATTTTTCTGCCTCCACCTCCCTAGTAATGGGATTACAGAATTATGTTGCCATACTTGGACATTTCCCTTCATGGCTGAAATTAATGTACAATTTTTGCATAGTCACCAGTCTTCTATTCATGTGTAAACATTTATATTTATTTCTCATTAGAGAAAGTAATATTATGGTAACCTTAAATAGGAAGGCAGTATCCTGGTTTATATATTACAGAATCTAATATTAAAATAACTTTATTAGCCTTTTAAAAATTGTTTCATATTAGTTATTAAAGCTATTTATGTTTTTCTCTGTCTTGAGCTTATTCTACTGGATCTTGGTGATAAAATTGGATTGAATTACTATATATTGTAGGTCCTTGTTCACAAGATCATCTGTATTTTAGCTAAATGTGTGGAGAGTGAGTATAATTCTAATACAGCTCAATTTCAACATGCATTTATTGGTCATCTACATTTGTCAGATACTAATCCTATCAATGGAAAAACAATAATAGATAAACCCTATTCATATAGAACTTACATTCTGCTGGGGTTATACACATAATAGACTAAAGACATAGAATATATGGTACAGGAATTGTGTTACGTGCTTTGAAGTAAATAAAGCAAGGGAAGGGCATAGGGGGTAATGAGCGGTGTTGAGTAGAAGTTTGAAGGAAATCTTGAGTAGCTTGTCCAGGGAGGGTTCCAATGAGGAGGAGACTTTTGAATAGAAATCTAAAGAGCTGAGGGAATGAACTGTATGTAGAGTGTGTGTGTGTGTGTGTGTGTGTATGTGTGTGTGTGTGTGTGTGTGTGTGTGTGTGTGTGTGCAGACTATTCCAGAGAGAAGGAATTAGATGTCTCTTTTTCAGATGGTTAAGTTTATTGGGACTCTTGACTCTTGTCATTGGGGAGATGTTATTGTATATTGACTATGGCTTCTTGTCTTGATAGAATGTCTAGCAAAGAAGTGAAGACTGCCCTAAAAAGTGCAAGAGATGCAATCAGAAACAAAGAGTACAAAGAAGCTTTGAAACATTGCAAGGTAAAGGATATTTGTCTCTTTGGCAAACAAATGAATTACCAATTTATGAATTATTGTAAGGTGTAAGTCACTTATTGTCCCACTTGACATGGTAGAACCTATAGAGCAGTTAGACCCCATTCTCCTTACTGCTGCACTTGATTTTTTTTTTTTTTTATTGCTAAGTTCCCAAAGCCATGTTCTCAAAGCCAGACATATCATAAGGACCTCAAATTATGGAATGCCCCTGACTATACTTTAGCATTATTATTGTATTACATTTAAAAATGTGTCTTTTATGTGTGTTGTGCTTGTGGAGGTCAGAGGACAAATTGTAGAAGTCAGTTCTCTCCTTCTACCATGTCAGTTTTAGGGCTTGAACTCAAATCGTTAGATTTGATCACAGGCACCTTAACTTCTGGGCCACCTTGCCTACCCAGCATTTTTATTACTTTAAGGTTGTTGACATTCCAGTTTCTATCTGACCAGTGGGTGAAAGAATAAAGATTCTGAAGCTTCCTCATGTGCTGATGGGACTGTTCCTGTTAAAGAGAGAAAATGGATGTGCTGGAGAGATAGTGGGGGTAGAAGTGAAGCCCCTAGGGGGATGACAGGATGTGACCCAGAATGTGAACGGAGGCCTTTAGTTCCTCTTCTGTTTTAGCAGGAGAAAAGATAGGCACAGATCCAGTACAGGGCTTGATTTGTTGATTTGGCAATGGAAAGGTAAGAGCATTTTTCCCTGATGGCTTCTATTTTTGGTGACTTGTGGCAGGAGATGAGTTGTGCAAGGATGTTTGTGACTAAAGCAAGTTTGAAGCAGTTATTATTTATGCTGAGAAAACTTAAGAATAAGAATTCAAAGGATTGCGAACTTATGAGTAAGAATTTGAAGGATTGCTGGCCCTAAAAAACACCCACTTGAAATTTGTTGCTATTAAAGTGAAATCAGTGAATGATGGAATTCAGGGTATTGAAGGGAGAGATGCATAGGAGTCAAGAATGTGATGACAGAGGATGGATGACAAGGATGGATCATAAGGAGGGATCAACAAAAGGAGTAAGAAAGAGGAGGCTTTAAAAATTGGAGAGTCCAGAAGTTGAGAGTTGTTATAGTGAGACCATTACAATCATTGAATTGGGGTAGACATGCTGGTTAAACACATTAGAGGTCACCTCAGAGACACCAGAATGCACTGGTGCTACATTAAGGAAGGGAATCAAGGTGTTTTCTCTTGGAGTACTTTGGCCTAGAGGAAGCCTGGTTTTGAATTCCCTGCTTTTCTCCCTGTGTCTTCCATTAGTCTGTAGTTCATGGTTCCAGGGCTCTAAGATCTGTCTGTTACCTGAGTCTGAATCTCCCTGCCTGAATGCTGTTTGTGACTCTGTCCCTTCAAGGGGCTTTTGTTCACTTCTATTGGTCAGCATGAGGAGCATCACAAAGGGAAGGAGTGAGGAGTACTTTACAGAAATGTTTAACACTTTTCCAAGGGACTGAACTTCACGGGGCCAGAAGCACTCAGAAAAGCAAATATAACAAAACCTCAACAGGCTTACCAACTTATTTCCATGTTGCTTCCAACATTTTTGGTGGATATTTGTTTATAAGGACACTTGTGACCTGTTTGCTGTTTTCAGCAAATGATTTGTCATAGCACACCTGTAAACATGGGAAACCTAAGCAAGTAGGGGTGTTTGTTACATTGTAGTCTTTTTTTTTTTTTTCTTTCTCCCAGTCAGGGTTTCTCTGTGTAACAGCTCTGGCTGTCCTGGCACTCCTCTGTAGACCAGGCTGGCCTCGAACTTAAGAGATCCACCTGCCTCTGCCTCCAAAGTGCTGTGATTAAAGGTGTACACCACCACTCCAGGCGTTCCATTGTATTCTTAAACGCAGGTTAAACAAACAGGACGAGTACACAGCAGGACAGCAGTCCTAAGTTTTACATGGCCTCCAGTGAGGTCCAGCAAAAGTGCCAGCCTCTCTGATTGTAAGAGATTTATACATAAAGGTACATTGATGACTGAGACTAGCAGGAATATGGAATCATGATGGTACTAATCTGGTACAGAAGTGAATAGTTGGTTCAAATGGAGGGTGCAATATATGTGGAGTGAGATGAGAGGGACTGTTTCTTCCAGCACTGTTCTTTAACTAAGCATGTACATATGATCATCATACTTCTAAATTGTTATTATTATCATTACTATTATTGTTTATGGTAATGTATATGTGCATGGTATATGACTTACCCATACCATCTGATCTGGAGATCAGATGACAATTTTGTATAACCAATTCTCTTTTTCCACCTTTTTTTGTGAGTTCCAGAGACTGAACTTAGCTCCTTAAGCCTGGGTGGCCCATTGAGCCATTTTACTGACCCATATTTCCATTACATTACTTAGCATGGATATCTTTCTGTGGGTATTTTGTAAAATTTTGACATGAATTTTACCAAGTAACTCATAATTTATAATGGCAAAATCCAGGTATAGACTATAATGGCAAACAGTGCAATGGGAGATGTCTCTCATCAGTAGAAACCCAGAATTGGTTGAGACTAAAGCAAAGCTACCAGAGAGTATATTTGCTGTGGTTCTGTCCTGTGGAGCTCTAAGGCGTGGGATAAGCATTCCCTTAGGAAGCTGTCTCCAGTTTGTGTATGTGTAGTTAGGTACTTTTTTCTTTGTGTTTGAAAAGTTTCTACACCCAATAAGCTTCTCCACCAATGTAGCAACCCAAATCAGACCAAATCAAACAGAATTAGAAAAAGCCCATGTTTAGTGGATACAAAGCTCCTGAATGGCCTTCCAGTCCCCCAGAGAGGAGATGGAAAAGAGAGACCAGAAAAACCTGGGAGGCAGTTTAAATATCCTGTGGGAGTGGTCTTGAGCATCTCGTAGGAGGGATCATCATTTGGCGCACTTTCTGAGATGCAGCAGGGTTTGGAGGGAGATGGGGCTTGGGTGAAACTTCCACTATAACATCGCAGACTCTTTGGGTATATGGATGCCAGGGGCTGGTTTGAAGCTTCCACTATAACAGTGTTCTCCCAGGATCTTTTGTCTATTTTCACCACATTTCTTTTTTGTGTGATTATTTCCTTAAAAATGTATTTTGGATTCTGAAATCCAGATCATTAGCCAGACAGTAATTATTGATTGGTGTTTGACATGTAGTTTGTGTCATTTGATAAACAGTTATGTGTTGTAGGATATTATTTTAAGGTCTATTACTCTTGTTTATGCCCTGGAACATTTGTTTAATGATGCAAAGATATGTCTGATTAAATAAAATTTACCTTCAGTCAGGAGACTGGGTCAGCAATTAGCTGCCAGGAAGTTGTAGGCAGGAGCCAAGTGGAGAAGGTTTATAAGGAGGGGCAGGAAGGAGCAAGAGGACTTCTTGGGAGACTGAAGAGGTGAGCTAGGTAGCTGCTTGCTATTCAGCCTCTCTGGGAAGCAGGATTCTACCTCAACCTTTGAACTTTGGGTTCTTTAGCTGGGTGGAGATTTAAATAAATTTCCTTAGTAGTTTTGAAAGAGTCAGTGTCTGAGGGAACAGGCTTCCGCTCTTGCGTCTTAGCCACTGCTGGTAGCAGTGGAGTTGCAGTTGGTGAATAAGATAGTCATTGCTGAATAGGATAGCCATAGCATAAAAGGCAGTAACAATTAAAAGCGGAAAACAACAGTTATGTGCTAGCAGTTGTACTTGTTGTTTAGAACATAAGCAGAACGTACCCTAGTATTGGAGTTTAGCTTTGTTGAGTACCTCATTGCTGAGTTGTAGGAGGCATCATTATTGGGTAGAGTGCAGCTTGCACACAACATTGGTGACAGATCACTCAGAGTGTGTATGTAGATACACATAAGCCTAATTAGTGGAGAGGTCAACTCATGGAAACCTGATTTTCCCTAGAATATAAAACCTTGAGAGCCTGATTTTATTTTAGCTCCTAGTTTTTTCTTTCCCTAGAATATAGTAATCTTCCTTTAAGCTTTTTGCTTTAGTGAGTACTCTTATTTCTGAGAGAAATATCTCTATGTGTCATTTTGTTCTAGATGATAGGTGTTACTTAAACATTCATTGCCATTGTTTATTTGTTTGATGTAGTACCTATAACTGCCACAAAAAATCCATCTTTTATTTGGGAAAATATTATAATGCAAAAGAAAATATTAGAGTTGGATGAAGTGATGTGGAGGCAGTAATGGGCCTGGGAATTTCTGTTCTTTTCTACCCAGCATTCTCATGGGCTGGGGGTCAGGACATTTTATGTAGGTATCAAGATCCCTTGGGCACTTCACTGAAAGGTACCTCATTTTGCAAACCCTTTACAGGCTTTCATTCACTGTACCTGGGCTAGGTACTGCAGTATGGGTTGCTCTGTTGGTGGCAGATCCAGTGTCCTGACTATTGCTTTGTTGTTTGTTTAGTAGTTTCTGAAATGTAATAACTTAATCTATGTTTTTTAATCAGACAGTGTTAAAGCAAGAGAAAAATAACTATAATGCCTGGGTTTTCATTGGTGTTGCTGCAGCTGAACTAGAGCAGCCTGATCAGGCCCAGGGTGCCTATAAGAAAGCTGCAGAACTAGAGCCAGAGCAGCTTCTTGCTTGGCAGGTATGGAGATATGTTTCATTTCTTATAATGTGGGGAAAGCATTTGTTTTCCATTTTCAAAGTGTAGGCGCCAGTGTTAAAGTAATCAATTAAACCTGTCTCATGAAAAAAAATGAAGCCGGGCGTTGGTGGTGCACGCCTTTAATCCCAGCACTCCAGAGGCAGGGGCAGGTGGATCTCTGAGTTCGAGACCAGCCTGGTCTCCAGAGTGAGTGTCAGGATAGGCTCCAAAGTTACACAGAGAAACCCTGTCTCGAAAAACAAAAACAAACAAACAAAAAAAATGAAATTTTCTAAATCTAAAAGTTAATTTTAGGTGCCTAAGATACTGTTTATTACTACTTAACTTCCTATCCAGTGGATTATTTTTAAATAGAAGACCATAACTATAAAGATTCCCTCTCATCTTCATTTTACTTGGAGGGAAATTCCACACATATTTCATCTGTAAACTATGGTGATTTTTAGGTGTTAGTCCATTGTTTCACACAATAAATAAAGGGGGGGGGGGGGGGGGGGGGGGGGGGGGGGGGGTTTTTTTTTGATACTTTTCACATGTGGCACAGGGACAGACACTTGAGAGGTGTTGGCAAAGATAACCAGCACTGCTTCCTTTTAGGGGCTAGCAAGTTTGTATGAGAAGTGTGATCATGAAAATGCTAAGGGTGATTTACCCGGTGTTTACCAAAAGCTGCTGGATCTCTATGAAAGGTAAGGAATATGTGGGAAAGGCTAGTTTCTTTACAGGTCTCACTTTAGTGATTAGAAATTATATAGAGCTGGGCAGTGGTGGCACGTACCTTTAATCCTAGCACTTAAGCAGATCTTTGTGAGTTTGAGGGCTACTCTGGTCTACAGAGTAAGTTCCAGGACATCCAGGGCTATACAGAGAAACCCTGTTTTGAAAAACCAAAAAAGGGGGGGGGGCAGAAAGAAAGAAATTATATAGAAGTTGTGTTAGGGTTCTCTAGAAACTGATAGAATTAATCTACACACACACACACACATATGATATTTTAGAGTTGCTTACAGGCTGTGGTTGGATTATTCCAATATTGGAAATTCCATGAATCTTAATAGTTCTGCCCATGTGGCTAGCTGTCTCTGATGGTCTTAGGTAAACTCAAGACTCCCAAAGAAGTAGGCTTTAATGCCAATAAAGGGATAGCCTTGCCAGAGTGGGATGGGCTTGCCAGAGTGGGATGAGCAGGCAAAGATAGCATCCTCCTTCATGGCTTCTCTATAGGCTGCCACCAGAAGGCGTGGCACATAGTTTAAGGTGGGTCTTCTCACCTCAAATGGTTCACTCCAAAATCTCTTCCAGCTATGTCCAGCATCTTGGTTTTAGATAATTCCAGATGTAGTCCAGCTGACAACCAAGAATAACTATCACAGAGGTGGAAGGACTGGTAACATTTGCTGAGAATTTAGAAACAATTTTCTCTCAAGTTTGTCACAAAATTTCTTGTGATTGAATTAGACTGGAAAGACTACTATGATGATTGACTCAATTCAGAATTTTAAAATGTATGGAGAAGATCATGAAAGATAATCTTCCCTCCTCCTTTACAAAAGGCTTGTTGTATACAATAACATTATAGTATCAGATGTTTGAGGCTTTTAAGTCTTTTGTTGGTTCTGCTATCAGATTAAAATTCCTTTTCCTTCTTCTCTTTAATGAAGTGTTGACAAGCAGAAGTGGTGTGATGTCTGTAAGAAACTTGTGGATCTGCATCACCAGGAAAAGAGACACCTAGAGGTTGGTCAGTTACTTCTAAAAGGCTTTCATCTAGCTAATTCAAGTTAAGAATGAAGATATCAAAAAGTTTTAGTGTAACATAGCTATTTAAATTTCCTTTTCAATAGGTAGCTCGGACATGGTATAAATTGATAAAGACACGGCAAGAAGATGGAGCAGACAAGCAAGAGCTTTATGAGCTGTGGAGAAAACTCACTAAGTTGCTTGCGGAGTATATAGAGGATCAGAATAATGAAACGCAGCAGATGGTATCAACTTCTTTATTCCTCATGGTTTATATCATGAAAATCGATACTTAATTGAATTGGAAAACAGAGGCATAATGAAGAAACATGGGAAGTACCGTATGTCAGTGCAGCGAGCACTGGGCATGCTCAGTTTAAATTCCGAACACAGGAAGTACCGTATGTCAGTGAAGCGAGCACTAGGCATGCTCAGTTTTAATTCATAACAGGAAATTACCGTGTGTCAGTACAGCCAGCGCTGGGCATGCTCAGTTTTAATTCATAACAGGAAATTACCATGTCAGTGCAGCGAGCACTGGGCATGCTCAGTTTAAATTCCGAACACAGGAAGTACCGTTGTCAGTGCAGCGAGCGCTGGGCATGCTCAGTTTTAATTCATAACAGGAACATACCATATGTCAGTGCAGCAAGCGCTGGGCATGCTCAGTTTTAATTCATAACAGGAAATTACCGAATGTCAGTACAGCGAGCGCTGGGCGTGCTCAGTTTTAATTTAGAACACAGGAAGTACCGTATGTCAGTACAGTAAGTGTTGAGTATCCTCAAATTCATAGAGATTCTTGCTGATAAAATTAGAAACCTTTGCTTTCAGTCTCATATAGTGTGAAGAGGGCAGACTTGGGTCTTAGAGTATTAGAATTTCAGATCATTGTATTTATAAGACTCCACAGTAGATCATTAACTTGGTCACTGTAGAAAGGAAAATATGTAACTGACTTTCACAAAACTGCTGTAACTTATAGAAAGTTGAACTTTCTAGGTATCATTCTTTATACTTGTTAACTAAGGACACTGAATTACTTAGTAATCACTTAACTCATTTAGAATGTTTATATTTGTTAGATTATGTTGGGTAATTCCTTTTTTAATGTATTGGCTCTAAGTTATTGGAAAGGATTTTTAAAATATAAAATGTAATTTTAAAGTATAGTTGGAAATACCTGTATTCCATATTTTATTAGTATAATAGTAACTTAATTTTTTATTATAATTAGTAGCTATTCAATGTCCTTGTTAAATTGAGTGTAATTTAAAATCTTAACAGTTATAGACTGTACACAATGGGAGCTTTGTGTATGTTCACTTGTTCAGTCATCAGTTTGTTGTTTTGTTCAGAAAATTTTGTTGCAAATGTTCTGTATGCCAGGCAGTCCCCAAAGGGCCAGTCAGCACTCTGTCACCAGGAAGGTTTACTATGGTTCACACCTTCAGATGTGTCAGTAGGTACTGTCTGCTGCTCTGTGTGTAGAGCAGGCAGGGCGTCAGGATCAGGAGCCCATGCAGATCACAGCTCTTCACATGTGGTACCTAGAATGGAAAGAGCCAAAGGAAGGGCCAGGGTCCAGGCTCCGCTCCAGGTTTACCTACCCTCCTTACACTGAGCCCCACTTCCCAAAGCCTCAGCCATCTACCAGAGCACCACAGGCTGTGACTAAAAACCCTCAACACATGGCTTTTCAAGAATGTTTAGACCCAGTTATAACATGTTATAGTAATAACTTGTCTTGTACAAGCAGTCGTGGAAGAAATTTAATAGTGACACAATTGGATAGCTCATCAATTTCTTTTAAGCTGTATCTATGTCAAACATATACCAAAATTAGTAAAATATATTTTTGATTTACTTATACTCCATGGAAGAAAATTCATAAAATAACATCCTACTATGTTGCCCAGGCTATACCCAAACTCCTGAGTTTATGTAGTCCTCAGCAAGCAAGCTTTCTCTTGTCTTTGTTTTTCTTCCCTCTCCACCTTTCTCATTCCCCTTCTTCCTTCCCCATTTCACTCTCCTTTTATCTTTTCCTTCATCCTTCTCTTTTTCATTTCTTTTTTCCTTCCCCCATCCTTCCTTTTTTCTTTCTGTGCAGACAATTGAATCTAGTGCCTTGTATGTTCTAGGATCATACAGAATACTGAGCCATTATGAGTCCTCAGTTAACACACACACACACACACACACACACACACACACACACACACACACACACACACACGTGCGCGCACGCACAGACAAAGACATGCACACGTTTTTGTTGTTTGCTTCTTTGTTTTTTTTATTATTATTATTGATTTTGAGACAGGATCTTATTATGCAGCCCAGGCTGGCTTTGAATTCTTTCTCTTTTTTTTTCCCTCCCTCCCTTCCTTTCTCCCTCCCTGTCTGTCTGTCTGTCTGTCTGCCTGTCTTTCTGTCTATCTATCTATCTGTCTATCTCCTGACAGCATCCTCACCTTCCTCCTCTCCTCCCATTCCCCCATCCAACCCTCCTCTGTGTTTATTCAGAAAGGGGAAGGCTCCTGTGGGTATCATTTCTTGGTCTGCCTGCCTCAGTCTCATACCAAGAATTATAGAAGTGTATCACAATACTTAAAAATTTTTAATAAACATGTATTAACCATGCTTATTTATGGCATTCATGCATAAAACATTCATTGATCATGCTCAACCATCTTTCTATCCTTTCTTCTTCTGTACTTAGTCCTTTTTCTAAAAATTCAAATGTAATTGCAACATTTCCCTCCTTTTCTTTCCCTCAACTCCTCCATGGCACACCAGTCCCCACTGTCTCTGAAATTCCTGGCCTCCTTTTCTTAAATTGTTATTGTTATACAGATATATATGAACGAATATATTAATTCATATATATATATCTGAGCTCATTCAGCCTTGCTTGCATGTATATGATTTCAGGGCTGACTACTTGATATTGAATAACCAATTAGGGGATACTTCCCTGGGGGAAGACTTCTGCTCCCAGTATTCCATAGTTGCCTGTGTTGTTTGTCTAGGTGGGGCTCATGAGATTTCCCCTTCCTTGTTAACATGTCCATTGGTGATGTCCTTGTTCAGGCCCGTTTTCAGCAGCCATATTATTAAGATAGCATAGATGTGCTGCCCTGTAATTTCTTTCTTTTTTTTTAAAATAATTTTAATTAGACCAATTTTAAATTAGAAACAAGCTTCTTTTACATGTCATTCCCAGTTTCCTCTCCCTCCCCTCCTCCCCTGCCTCCCCCACCACCTCTCATCCCATCCCCTTTCTGCTCCCCAGGGAGGGTGAGGCCATCTATGGGGGATCTTAAGAAACTGTCATATCATTTGGAGCAGAGCCTAGACCCTCCCCCATGTATCTAGACTGAGAGAGTATCCCTCTGTGGCTCTGTAATTTTTATAAGCCACAATTTCACAGCAGATTTCCCAGTCCTATGGCTTTAAAACCTTTCTGTGCCCATTTCTAGAATGTTCTCTGAGCCTTGGATACAGGAGTTGTGTTAAAAGGTGTATCTATTCAAGTTGTTCTCTGCATTTTGAGTTGTGGCTTTGTGTAATGCTGTCTGTGACAGAGAGATAGAAGAAAGCTTCTTCTATGAGGGTCAGGTACTACACTTATTCATAGATAAATATTTAGGATGCAGTTAGGAATTGGGCTGGTTTAGTAATGTGGTTATTCTCTAAGACCCATGACATCATTAACCTTGAGGAGTTGGCTATGTTTCTTTTCCCTCCCATTAGATAAATATTGGTTATCATGAGAATAAGAGTGCCACCATTGCTTCTTTAGGATATCTTGCCAGCCTTGTCATTGCTGTGGTTTGTAGGCTTCATAGTTGGGTAGGACTGTTGGTTGATTCTCTCCCTTGGCAGCTTCCAGGGCTCTGAGAGTTTGTATTCAGGGAAGATCATTTCAATTCAGATCTAGCTCTAATCTTCGAAGTTCTTTGTCCAAAGTGCATGGTATCTTCAGCAGTAGGGACTTACCTTCAACTTCAGGGAGGTGACCAAGAACAGTAGCAACAGCCTGTATTGCCACCCTGAAAGGGAGTTTATCATGCCTGGTATTGGCGTTTTTATCAGATAGTGTGTGGCTCTTGAAGGGAGCATTGTCAGCCCAAGTGGCTTAACTTCATTTAAACTATGTATGTATATCCACTTATATGCACAATATATAATGTTGGATAAATAAAATTGATTTCTTAATGTGTTTTTCTCCTCCCTCCTTTGTATGTACCTCCTATCACTCCTCAGTTAAAGCCCCACCCCGTTTTTCTTATTTCCCCCATTCACCTCACCTGTGTACTACTATTCCCCTCCCTACTGCTCCTTTTTCTTAGTCCTTAATAATATATTTTTAAGAACTTATTTCTAGGTCTTAAACATTATTTAAGAACACTTAAATAATGAATGTTCTTTAAAAATGTTACTTATTTTTTATTTGGAATACCTATTTTATTATCTAAAAAAGCTAATTACATTAAATTATTTTAAGGTTACTGTGAGATCGTTATCATTATCAGAACAGTGAAATTTTTACTTTTTACAGTCTTTATAATTAACAAGGAGATATTGAGGTAATGAAATAGTAGGGGTTGATTGTGATGACTGATTTTGTCAACTTGATTAAGAAACACTGAGGGAGGGATGTGACTATGAGTTCTTTCTAGTAAAGATTTACTGGGGGTAGTTGGGGTTGGGGAGCCCTGCTCAGTATGTGAGTGGCGTCATCTCGTGAGCTGTGACCTTGACCTGAATAAAAAGGAGAAAAAGAGCCAGGTGTTGGTGGCACACACCGTTAATCCCAGCACTTAGGAGGCAGAAGCAGGCGGATCTCTGTGAGTTTGAGGCCAGCCCGGTCTCCAGAGCAAGTGCCAGGATAGGCTCCTGAGCTACACAGAGAAACCCTGTCTTAAAAAACCAAAAAAAAAAAAAAGGAGAAAAAGAAATGTTGGCTTCTCCTTCCTCACCACATCCTGACCTGCTCAGATGTGAGCACACTGCTTCTTGCTACTTCCATGACAGTTAGGAACCATGCTTCCTGCCACAATGGATTGTGCTCTCAAACTGTGAGCAATAATAAAACCTTCGCCTCATCTCTTAAGTTGCTTCTCATCACATATTTGGTCACAGCAATAAGGCAAGTGACTAATATAGGGGATTTATCAGGTCAATGATGTACCCTTAAAGGTGTAGTCCTTACATAATGAAATGGAGGATATAATATGCAGTAAAGTTCTTGCCTCTTGCTGTTCTTATGCAAGACATTTAGAACGCTTCTTTCAAGATTTTCTTCAAAGTCAGTTAATACTGTATTAAGGGAAGTGGTCTTATTATACTTCTCTCTCTCTCTCTCTCTCTCTCTCTCTCTTTTATTTCCTGGCCAAGTATAACTCAACTTTGTAATTTTTCTCTAAAGATTTCCTGCTCTTGGAGATTTTACAAAGAATGTGCTTGTAATACTATATTACCATATAAGATAATGTTCTAGCTGTTCCTTTGTAGCAGCCAAAAGTGAAAGAAAAAATGCTTTATTAAGCTAATGTTTTAAATTTGTACTTATCACTTACTAGTTTAGTATAGTCTATTGGCTAGTTGGAGTTAGAATGTATTTTAAAACTTATGTAGACATCCCTCCACCCCTGCCCCACCCCATCATTCAAATTGTCAGGATCAAGTAGATTGAGGTGGTTCAATCTATAAACCCTGTCATTGGGAGGCTGAGGCAAGAGGGTCTCCACAAGATCAAGGCTGTCTTAGGCTACAGATCTGACCAAACAGAAGAATCATGAGGTTTAGTTTTTATAAAGGAGTCTTTATCCCTGGCTGTCCTGGTACTTCCTTTGTAGACCAGGCTGGCCTGAAACCCATAGAGATCCATCTTTCCCAGCCTACCGAGTGCTGGGATTAAGGGTGTACTACCACTGCCTGGCTTATAAAGGAGTCTTAATACAGCATAGCACTTGCCACATTTTTCACTTAGCATGCTACATAATAGCTTTTTGGTTTGTTTCAGCTTTTAACTGCATTTGAGAATGCACTGGACTTAGCAGATAATATTCCCAGTGAAGATCACCAAGGACTTTATAGGCATTTCATTCAGTGCTTATCTAAAGTAAGTGACATGTATTATTTCTAATTATGAAAATGTTCGTCAATACGTTTTACTGCTGTTGGGATTCACTTTATTATGCTTTTATATTTTCAAGCTTCCTCATGAAACTTCAAGATTGAAGAATGCCTGTGAAGGAATGATAAATATCTATCCCACCGTACAGTATCCACTAGAAGTGATTTCTTTGCACTTGATTGAGTCAGGTAATTTTTAATATTGCTTTCCAGAGATGTGTGATTATCTGAGAGTGATATTGCAATCAATTAAGCACTGTCTTAGTGCTTCCTATGTATAAAATATTATATCAGTGTTTCTGGACATAAAAGAAACACAGTTATGTAATATTGCTATTTACAGAAAGTCTAAGAAATATAGGAGAGTAGAGTGATACAGGACTTATGAGTTATAAAGCTATTGGTTCAACAATAAAATTCTTCTCTTTTATTATTTATTTACTTTAATTCTGTGAAGTCCTTATGGTGGTGGGACTTGAAGGATGTCTTGAACATTAGATGGATGCTAGATGTCTGACATTAGATGGAGCAGGTAGGTGTGGTAGTCCAGGTGGCAGGTGTAGACTTGTGGTGCTAGATACAGTCCCCTCCTTTTTAACTGGAATAGTAAAACAGATTTGTTTGATATAGTAGAAGGAATAACTGAAACCTATTTGGCTAAATAGGTTGGATTATATTACACAAGTCTTGACTGCCATGAAAAGGAAACATTAAGCTTCACAGTGTTGATATTAATACCATAGTGATGGTCTGTTTCTTTTAAATTTTGCAGTATTGTGAACTGTTAGTCTGTAAGTGAACTAGAGTAAATTCAGGTTGGAGAGTGTGTCTTGGTGTATGTGACATACTCTTGCTTCTTTGTGTACTTTGGTAGAAGAAAGATAGTTATGAACAGCTGGGTTATTGGGAGTTGGCACATCTGAAGTGTGTGTCTGTGACCTAGGCAGGTATTTGTGTGGATTGACCACCATAAATTTTTTATGACAGCCTTTGTCCTTGTCAGTGTTTGTGCTGAATAGTGCTTTTTGATGACTGGGATACACTTCTACACATGCTTTTATTCACCCGAGATAAACAAGTTCATAGAAATCAGTGATGAAACTGAACTGGAAATAGTACCTGCATTAGCATGCTGGTGACTGAATTATCATGGAACTTCTCTAGTGCAGTGAATCTTTTTTACTTGGTTGTAAAATCGATAAATACATGGAACATTTTGTATGAATGACTCACATTTGTCATAGTAGGAAAATATGGTTGAGTTCTAGAGATAACTGAGGGAGAATTCCTGGTAGGCTGTGAGCATTGCACCTATCTCTATTCTGCCCATCTCGCTCTCCTTTATCACTCCTTAAGTTTCTTGGTCTGTATGAAGTCATTGCCCTTACTTTTAGTCTTGGAATTTCCACTAGCAAGCAAGAGCTTTTTCTTACTCTCAAAGAGAATATTTTTCATTATGAAAAGTACTAAAAGTTTCAGAGTGAATTACTTTATGAAGTCCAAATGCTTAAACTAATAATACTTAGGATGGACTGAAGTAGAGTAGACCAAGTGATGCTGAGAATGAATAAATGAACTTGGAACATGATGGTGATAGAAAGGAACAGATGAATGGAAAAAAGTATTCAGCTTCTTAAAGGGAAGGGCAAAATTATATTCAAATTTTAGTTCTTCTAAAAAGTTAGCCCAATATAGAAAAAAAAAGATGGCTTATGTGAAAAGTACATTTGAAAGGAGCTATTAAAGTAGCCAGTGCCCATCAATTGTTGGTAAATGGGAATTGGCAAACTAAAGCTAAGCATGTAACTTGGAAATTGTTTGTGTGAAAATGAGGTGGAGTGATTGACATTAGAGAAGACCGAGGGGCAAAAGGCTGAGGATGGCTGCTTGTGTGGTGCTGTCTGGCTCAGAATTAGAAAGGGATGAAGACCATGAAATGGACAGGTGAGAGAGCAAGGTGGGGGCCCAATGCGAAGACAGGAAAGAACATTTCAGAAAGAAGACTGTCAGGGACTGTCATGATAGATGAGTAACTGATTTTATTATTAAGAAAACTAATATTAAGGCTATTTTTAAATAATGGTAGTTGAACTGAAGTAATGGTGGAAAAAGTTGAGGAAGTGATTAGAGGTTTAAGAAGAGAAGTAGTCTAGGAACTTTACTAAGTGCATTTATAGGAAGACCAGAGGAAGGGAAGCATGTGATAGGAGCAGCAAGAGAAGCAGCAGAAGGGTTACAGTGATGTCTCCTGTCTGGACCATTTCAAGACAGAAGGCAGAGGAAATGAGTCATGTGATGGGGGTGGCAAGCTTTCAGAGGGGAGGAGAAGGGTTACTGTGATGTCTCTCTGGACCATGACAACTGCTGTGTTAAGACCGAGGGAGATAAGGTACACAAGGGAACTGTCAGTCCAGTGTGACAATAACTCCTTCCGCAAGCTGCTTGGGTTCTGCTGCTGCTTTAGGGTCCCCAAATAACACACAGAATCTTATATTAGTTACAATGCTGCTGGCCAATGGATAGGATTTCGATCGCATGGTGACCACTTTACTACATTTCCCAGAATCCTGCTCATAGTCCCGCCTATCTTGCTTTTCTATTGGCCAACAGTGTTTCATTCGTTAACCAATAAGATAAACATATACCCAGAACGACCTCCCCCATCAGTCCAGTGTTTTTTTGTTTTTCATCTGATAGGAAGCCTTACTTCAAAATCATCCAGTTTCTTCATATTTTATCGTAAGACCCAGTGTGTGATAGAAAGATAGGATATGACCTTTGTGGCTGGTAGAGTTTTC